TGATACCAAAGCTTTTTTTTTCCTGTCAATCGTGCAAAGCTAATCTCTCAGTCATAATTGCTTTGATTACCTGGCAAAATAATTTTGAAATAATATGTGCAGTGAATTGATTTCTTTTAAACTTTTATTACAATTTTATTTGTTTTTCAATCTGTTTTTAAAAAAAATGAATAACCCCTATGAAGTAAAGTTCTCGATGTTCAGTGTTTACAATCATTGCTTTATGCATTATTTCACAGTCTTAAATGTTTAAATGGTTGTTCTCCTTTGAAGTGAACAGGAATGAATGCACGACTTGTATGTTAAGGTATGATCAGTACAGATGTAAATCGACTACCACTCACGAAGATATTAGTCAGGAGACGCAATTCTATCATTCATGGAGAATTTAAATCAATTCATTTTATGCTAAAACTTGCACTGAAAAGGGATGTTGTCCAGTAGGACGACGAAAGCTTCTCATTTAAACTAACCAGTTCAGAGAACACCACTAACTACAAATCATACACCTGGGCTACAAATCTTCTCTATTACTTCGGGGAGTTTTATGGACATTTTAGTTATACAAAACCGAAAGAACAAACTGAGTGTATGGATAAACGACACACCAGTCTATCAACTTAATTAAGAGTCTCAGCTTCTGAGATAGGTAATTCGTCGCAAAATTGGACCAGATGTACTCCTTACTGTTAAGTCACTGATGAAATACAGTGTATAATTTTGAGCGTGTTATGCGGGAAGGCGTCATTGTCACATAGATCTCTACCATAAATTTCACTTGGGTTATAATCACTAAGAAAAAGTCACAATGTCTGCCTGTATAAATAGCTTCAAAATGCAGTTGCTGATTGGTTTTACTAAGCATACGTTTTGATAGGTTCGTGTTGCAGAGGTACCACCTCACACCATTTTGTAAAATAACCAATCATCACCAAGGTATATCGGTTACGGATTTTGGAGGCTGGAAGTATTCCCATTATATCTGTGCCGACTCACTGATTCGGTGATTGAGTTAGCATAGGTACAAAGAGTGCTCTGGGCGTTTGTGTAGACTGCTTGTTGCGGCCACAGAGATCACAGTTTTGACAGAACCCGGTTACATCTCGATGAAGCAACGGCCACCAGAAACGCTGACGGGTGGCATGTTCCGTTTTGTGTCAACCAGTGAGCCCAATTTGGTGGTGTACCTGACTCATGAGCTCCTGTACTTTGACGTTGGGAACTAGGAGTTGTGGGTTGGAATTCGGTTCCACTATGTAGAGGACATCATTTATTAGTCCAAGTAGGCCCCGTTTACCACAGATACACGGTGTAGCTGCTGGCAGTTCTCGTAATTCCTTGTGCATCAGTTTGTTGTTGCCGTGGTTTTGTCTTAAATATACAGGTTGTATATCTGCGTCCACCACTTGTACGGAGACCTAGTCAATATTAGCTGCAGTATCGAGTAATACATTCACTGTGGTTTCAAAATTAGGCAGGCGTGAGGGAGCATTGGCGTTAGCATGTCGTTTTCCATGACGGTATTCACAAGTGAAATCAAACGCCTGTAGACGTTCTTACCAGCGAGCGAGTTAGCCCTCTACATCACAAAAATTCTGCAATTACTGTAACGCTTTGTGATCAGTCCGGACCCGAAATTTGCGCCCCAATAAATAATGGCGAAAGTAAAAGAGAAAGTATACAAGAGGTAACATCTCATGGAGATTCATAGAATACCGAGTCTCTCTCTTGTCCATAGTCCGGTTGGTGTATGCTATTACTTGCACCTATCCGTCAGGCGTCATCTGTGAGAGGACAGCTTCTAGCGCCTGTGCAGTGGCGTCAGTATCCAGGATAAAGGGGCTGCTATCATACAATGTATCTAGGAACGCTAAAACAGGAGGAGAAGTTAAACATGTTTTAAGCGTATTAAATTCTGCCAGGCACTCATTAGTCCAAGCGAATTTCCGTCCCTTTTGCATTAATCTATGAAGGGGGGCTGCTGTAATTTTGAAAGAAACGACGGCACTAAGAAGTAGGCTCTATGAAACTGCGTACGTCCGCTGTCGATTTAGGGATAGGCCAGTTGAGGATCACTTGTACTTTGCTTCCATCTGTGCTAACTCCTTGTGGTGTACTCTCATGACCAAGGAAGGTAACAGATTTCTGTAGGAAATAGCATTTCGAGGCTTTCGGCTTAAAATAACTCTCTCGTAAACGTTGGAATGAGGCTCGGAGGTTGGTATGGTGTTCTTCGAGGGACTGTCCGAACATGATGATGTCATCCAGGTAAATGAGGCATGAACTTTGTGTCAGGTGAACTACAAAGTGAAATTCAACGAGGCGTTCGGAACGAATAGAGGAGTAAGACAAGGCCACCTGTCTATTATCACCAACAATTATGTTATAATTGTGGTGGGCTGGATTATGAGTCAGACTGTCCGTTGGGGGTGAGAAGACAGGTATACGTTGTACGACTGGTGAGAAGACTCTAGAAGATCTGGATTTCGTTCATGGGTGATTTATGTCTAATGTCACACAAACTCGAAAATTTGCAGGTAGGCAGGCAGATGAAAACTGGCAACAAACTGAGAGAAGTGGGTGGCTGGCTGGCAGCGAAGACAAGACTCCAGGTGAACAGAGAGCAGACGGAGGTGATAAAGGCAACCAACCAGTCAACCAAACAACCTACAACAGTAACAATAAACAGCACCACTCACCATCAAGGAGAGAGATTTGAAAGAGGCTACCTTCTTCACTTGTCTCGCTAGGCAACATCGTTTCGACCACAAGCAGTCGGAACGGATGAAGATATCAAAGTCAGACAGCCGGCCAGCCAGCCAGTCAGAATCGGAAAGGTGAGACACACACACCTTCATCAACCTGAAACCAGTTTGGAAATCTTCTGCAGTGCACTCCACCTCAGCTTCAGCACAAAGAACGAGATTCGGATTGTTTTCAACACAAATGTCAGTGAAGTTAGTCAGTCAGTCGTTCAATCTTTCTTCACTATGGGTCAGAAACTTGACCAGTGTGACACAAAGAGGATTTCCAGTAGCCAGTTACGTACTTTTATCAACAGCTGCCCTCCTCTTCACTGGCTAGCTCCATACTGAAGACGAAATAACCAGTCGGCCGGCTGGCTGGCCAGAAAGAATTACCAAGAAGAGACTCTGGCTGGCTGGCTGGCTGGTTGGGAACAAACCAACCAACCAAGATCCGATTGGTGAACAAATATGTAGGAGACAATGGAGATGGATGTGTCGGGCATACATTGAGAAGGCAGTTGAATGATATCACATGGAATGCAGGCCATTGATCGAGTGGAATCGCAACGGTAAGCGACGAGTGGGTCGTCAGTGCAAGGGTGACAGTGGAGGAGACCGTGTGGCAAGGAGCAGGAGATGAGAGATGACATAATTGGCAATCGTGTGGTCAGCCACCTGACGAGGAGGGCAGAAATTATAACAGGAATTCAACAGCAAATCTCCATTCTATGTTTCACTAGGGAGCTAAAGGGATAATAATAAATATAATAATGGTAATAAAAACTCAATATCCTGTATGGTAGTAATTTTAATATTCAATTTTTATCTAAATATTAGAAACAGCATATCAATAGGATACTTTCCAATACAAAAATTACAAATAGCAGCATAATATTTTCAAAAAAACGTTCTTCCCAGTTCAGTCACAAACTGACTACAGTTATACAACCATTGAAAACCAGGAAGTACACTGGACAGCTGTTTCGTCCTCGTCAACACTACTACGCATTAGCGATGATCCCACAGGAGGTGAAACACAGGATCTTCAGGTAGCAAGGCAAGCCCATTGATGATTCAGCCCCTGCGGTAGAATTCACTACTCCACGAATTCTAACTGTGAAGACAATCAAGTCCACGGCAGACTAACACTTGAAAACGTTGTTCCACCAAAACAAAAAACAACGTATCTTCGTGCATACGAAAATGCGTTCATTCCGCTTTGCATTTCTGCCTCATATTGATCTACAGTATCCACCTCTAGAATGAATAAGTACACCTCAGCAAATTTGCGTAATTGTTTCTCCCGACATCGAAAGCCAGATCATTATCAGTACTAAGGGTTGACATGAGTAACTTCACATCTTATTGATTACAATACAACCTGGAAACATTTATTTCCCGATACGAATTTAAAACAAGCAACAAAGCAGGTTAATAAAGCAGGATGATTTAATGAATTCGTCAAATTTCAGTAGAACTCGTCAGCTGAATACTCCACATACACGGATATATATATACTTTTGAAATTACATTGGGAGATATAAGACTGATAAGCGAGCAAATAAACTACATTGAATTAGTCATGCAGACAGACAGGTGCGAATGCTTTTCCAGGTCATGTTCAATTAGATAAGGGGAGAGAGAGTATGGGAGATCAAAATTAAGATAAGTTGCATTGCGCTTCAATTATATCACATAAATAAACAATTAGACATTAGAGAATATAACAAGAATTGCAAACAGAGTGATGTCAATAGTAATAGTTATAATGATAACAATAATAATAATGATAGTGTTGAAGTGAGTTAATATAATCCTACTGATAAAGGATAGTTTTAAATGAATCAAGAATAATAATAATAAGTAAAACGTATTACCATGGTAGATTCAGAGTAACGACCATCTCCTTTTGTACACAGAGACCTGGTTTATAAACTCGAATTGCACAAACCTCTGCAATTACAAGCATCTTCTTGTTTCTTTGTCTGCTGACAATAACAGTGAATGACTTGACCGCGTCGATACCATGTCCATAGTCCACAAGATGTTTTATTATTGAGGATTTGGCACTTTGCATTCAGCTGTTTTCAACCAATTTGGAAATGCTTCATCATGCGAGTAGACAATAATCGCCTTTCCGTACGACCTATGTATTTGCTTGGACAATACAACTGTCGACAGAAAATGTGTAAATGTTTCCAATTTCTAAGTGTGCAAGGACTCACACAGATATCCTTCCACCGCATGTACTGAATATATATTCGTCTTTGTAAAAACTACGTCATCATGTTGGCTTAGTTTTAACAAAATGAATCGGTGGTTCACCAACATTAATTTTCAGGTGCAAAACTTGATGCATACGCCTGTCAACTGACTTGTTCTCGCTTTCATTTGTTGTACGTTTACTTGTACTTGTAGTAAACATTTTGATAGTCGAGTCAACAAGTGTATAATTCAAACTGTTAATTCCGTCAAGACGATAACGAACTTTTGTGAATGATAAAATTTGTGTTCTGAAATCATTTAAGAAAAAAAAAAGAAAAGAAAAGACGATCAGTAGTATGTTGAAATGTGAAAGTTTCTGTTTATACGTCAGACAATAATAATTCTCACGGTAACATTGAAGCATATTTGTCCAAACCAAGTTCACTTTCATTAAAACGATCGATTTGCAGAAAGCCTACTTGGACAGGGCAATACCTTAATTTTCACAGCTTCTGTTCGCTACAGTATAACAGAGGCTTGGTGAAATGCTTATTTAAGAGGATTTAGCGTATTTGCACGGCTGATGTTATAGACAAAGAAAATGAAATATTGGTGGATACTCTTGTTGAAAACGGATATCCTTTAGAATTTTTAAACAGGTGTAGAAGTCAGTTAGTCTTTAAGCCTACAATCTAAGCTGCCCCTAGGAAACGTGTTTTCATCAAATTAACATATAACGGTAAAATAGACAGTGGGATTTTGAGACAAAGGTTAAATTCCGTCATCCGTAGGACCTATTATGCAGTGCGGCTCCCCTGCAAACCTCAAAACTGCATAATTGATTATGTCACGTCGCACACTGCCAATTTTTGTGTGTGTGGACACACTAACAGAGGGGGAGTAATCGTGCTTTGCATGTGAGGGTGGGGGGGGGAGATCATATTCCAAAATGGTTGGAAAGACAGACGAAATAAAGTATAATTATATTTCAGTGGTTTACACACAATGATAAGTTTTTGTTATTGGTAATATTTCGAGCGAAATTACTGCCCGTCTTCACACCACCTGCTGGAATTGTTTTGTTTTTTAATTCCTTTGAACTTTAGAAAATCAATGGACGCAGGTGGCAGACTACCAGCATCGTCTATAGCCAAACATGAACCACAGGATTAATGTCAACTCGGCTTTTAAGGTCATCTATAAAAATGGTCAAGGGCGCTTATTGAAATATACTTAGGGCTATAGCTAATCATAAACTTAAGTCAACTCCACCTCTTCACCTCGTGTGTTTGAAAGCAATTTATTATTATATATGTCCAGATCAAATTCACTTTTAACAGTTTGAAAATTTTATAATTACTCTTAATCCACATAACTTGGTAATCTTTATCCGATTGGATAACCGAACGTAGCTTAATTGTTCCGTATTACTCTTAAATCCTTTTTGTCACTTTATGTTCTTTAATATTTTTGATATAAATTGACTTGACAAGTCAATGTGTCAGGGAACAGACTGTTCGAAATGCATTGCGCAAATACATCACATTTTTTAAAAGCACTATCCAAATTTATAAAAGGGACTAACTGTTTTTAATCACTTTTAACAGTTTGAAAAAATTTGGGTATTGGATATATGATATTCATTTTAATGAAGGTTTTCTGTATTTCCCAATGAATGAAAAACAAAACGATATTGTTTTATTAAACCAGAATTTACAAAATCCACTCAGCTGATATATAACAACTTAATCATCATTCCTCAGCATGGGGGCATTTTGCGCTGTCAAATTGGCCTTTTGGTAACGATAACAAAACCAGGTGTAGATTGTTGGATTCGATAAGTGTGTAAAATTATAAAAGCTTGGAATATGACGCGATGTACATCGGACAAACATCACGAGAAATCAATATTAGGAGAAATGAACACTGCAGAGCATCTGTTCGACCACCAAGAAATCCAGTTGAACTAGAAAAGCTTGAAAAATCATCAGTCATAGGTCTACACGCCATGGAACAGATGCTCTACAGTGTTCATTTCTCCTGATATTGATTTCTCGTGATGTTTGTCCGATGTACATCGCATCATATTTCAAGCTTTTATAATTTTACACACTTATCGAATCCAACAATCTACACCTGGTTTTTTTATCTTTACCAAAAGGCCAATTTGACAGAGCAAAATGCCCCCATGCTGAGGAACGATGATTAATTTGTTATATATCAGCTGAGTGGATTTTGTAAATTCTGGTTTAAAAAAACAATATCGTTTTGTTTTCCATTCATTAGGAAATATAAAGAGAAACTTTATAATAATATTGAAGCATACTTACTAAAACGTTAGCCCATCAAATTCATAAACAATATTTTCTTGAGAGTGTAAAACTGCCGCATAGTTATTTATCTATAAAATTTTGCTAATCAGAGGCCAGGCTTGCATACCAAATAAAACTGTCGGAAGATCCATAGTTAAGTTACAAACGTTCACCATCACAACAAAAAATATCCAACTTAACAAGAAGTAATAAGTAACGCAGATTGAATGCAAAAAAAGACTTTGGTGTGTTCAGACTTATAATAGTGATTATCAGCGCAAACACGAAATCTAGGTGTAGGCCATCGTGCTGATTGTTATTCATCATTCAAATTTGGAAACACTTTTTTTACGCGTAACGCTCTGGCGAAGATCGGCAAACTTCATATTCCTTGTACTCGTGAACTGGAAAAGTAACGTCTCTGACTGCAGCATTGGGTGACGCAGGTTCGAATCTCAGAAGGGAAATGAATTCCTTCAAGGTTGCAGAAACGCCTTGCTGACTGGTGAGTGGCAACTAGCACGAAACCTAGGTCCGAGGCTTCCTGCCGACTGCTTCTAACCATCTAATACCAACAATTCTTAGTGCATCGTGATGGCGAGCCACACAGAATGGTAGCCACATTACAAACCTGACTGACAGAATTCAGTCCACGCCAAAGGACTAGACACATCACACTAGTTACTAGTGTCCAATCAAAGATATACAATTTATTTTGCTGGGAATAATTTCACGAAGCATCATGGAAACGATCGGTGTATTTATGCATCGTTTAGCGATTTGAGATGTTTAAATGCAAAGGTTCAGGTCAGGGTTCGAAGCTACTGGCTAACAACAACTTTCCGTTGTTTCAGTTCTCATTAGTAATTTAATCAACGGCTAGTGTACTTTATTCATGTTTAGTTTAAAAGTCTCCTACTTAAGTGTACCTCACCTTAGAGCCACATGAAATGCTGGACTTGGATTGTGTTTGAGCATAGTGAACTGAGCGACATCTGGATCAGGACGCGTGACAGGAACTCCATTTAGCATAAGCCTGAGAACAGAGAAACAAAGGTTAAGAATAATGATTACAAAGTATATACGATTGTACGGCTTGATAATAAATTCGTTGTTGAAAAGAGTCTCTTCACTGAATCAACACTTGTTTTGATTTTCTATTTGTTACAATGGGAATTTTCCATGAATTACAAAGTATTCCATAAATAATTTCTGCTTTTGGTTACCTAGCAGTATTGTCAAGTCCACAAAATCCACAACGGCAAACTCTTGGAATCCTTCGAAGTGAAGACGGGAGTAAGACAAGCTGGCTGCCTACTATCTCTAATGATTTTTCTGATTGCGGTAGACTGGACAATGTGACAGACAGTGGGCAACGAGGAAAAAGGCATAAAATGGACCCACACAAAAAAGAACCTGGAGGATCTGGACTTCACCGATGATATATGGTCTGATTTCCCACAGACTGGAAGATATGCAAGTGTAAAGCAACAAGTTGTCAGAAGAATCATCCAGAGAAGATAGGACACAGAGAAAACAGAGGTGACGAATATTCCTGACCAACAGCAACACCAGTAACAACAACAGACAACAATCAGCCACCATAAATGGGATAAATCTGAAAGAAGCAACCCTTTTTTACCTACCCCCCTACCTGGAAAGCATTGTTCCAACTAGAGGCGGGCGGAACTGACGAGGAAATTAAAGCGAGGGTCGGGAAAGCAAGGCCAGCTCTCATTACTCTCAAGTCTGTGTGGAGGTCAACAGCACTCAGCATGAATATAATAAGATCCGGATTTTCAACTCCGATGTGAAATCAGTGCTGCTTACCATACGGATCAGAGACTTGCACTGCGCGTCACGAAGGGAACTTCGAACAAACTACAGACCTTCGTCAACAGCTGTCTTCGCTCAATACTACTCAAGATCAGATGGCCGGCCAGGGAAGATCAGCAACAGAGAGGGATCTCTGAGAGTGAACCAACTCTGCAGGAACCAGTAGTGCAGCAAATCTGCAGGAAGAAATGGAGGTGGATTGGCCATACTCTGAGAAAACAAACCATCAAGTCGCATCATGCGTCAGGCCATCGCTAGAGCGGAACCCGAACGGAAAGCGGCGAGTTGGTCACCCGAGGACGACATGGAGGAGGTGATGTGAAGAGGAGATGAAAGCATGTGGGCAGATGTGGAGCCAGGTGAAAAGGTTGGCAGAGAACCGAATGCAATGGAGACGTGTGGCTGAAGCTCTATGTTCTTCTATGAACTAAAGGAAACAATAATAATAATAATTTGTGCATTTTCAAGCCCACGCTTTTTATCTGATCACTGGATTTGTAAAGATCATTCAGCTAATGTCTGCCTCAGGGAATATTTGAAATATTTATTCAATGTAGTGTCAACGTCATTAGTGTATTCATTTTGCTGGAGATAGTTAACGCAATCCATTTCTTTTCTACTGGTTTGCAGGTAAATAAGTGGAAACCATTTACAAAAAATAAATTGTATGAACTGTAACAGACATTACATCGGCAAAAGTGGGCGTCTCCTTCGAATCAGAATCCAGGAACACAAATCAGCTGTGAAAAGACATGATATATATTCTTTAATATCGATGCATGTAGATAATTATGGACACTAATTTGATTGGGATATGTCGAAATTTTAAAAAGTGGAAACATCAGACAGTAATGCCAGAGAATTCCTAGAAGCCTGGTACTCAAACGAATATGCGATTAAAAAACATATTAATATAGACCAAATATACCAAATAATAAAAGTAAATCATGTGACGAGAAAGTTTAAAATCCAAGTCAATATAAAATGATCAATACAGATGTAAAGATGATTACCAGGAGACGCAATTCTATCACTCGTGGAAAATTTAAATCAGTTCAGTTTATGCCAAAAATTGCGCTGAAAGGGGATGTTGTCCAGAAGGACGACGAAAGCTCCGCAACTAAACCAACCAGTTCAGAGAACACCACTAATTCTAAATCATCCACCTGAGCTACAAATCTTCTCTATTATTTCAGAAACTAGTATTCTTTTGAAGATAAAGTTAACACATCAGCAAAATGAAATCGTTATGCAAAGAGAACTTCCAGTCTTTTCGAAATAATTTGACCGTTTAGTTCGATAGTAATAATTCCAGCTTAAAGCAAAGCCTCATATCGTGACTCAAAACGTATTCAAGCCACCACCCCACCTATATTTCGTAAAAACATAAAACGTCCACTGCCTCCCCCCCACACACACATGTATACAAAGCTAAAATCTCATAAGAATGAAGACGACGAAATGAATCTTTATTCATTGAAGTACTCACCTTTCATACATGTCATCATCTTCAGCACCCCAACCCCAGAAAAGGTTGGAATATCCATTGACTCGAAGAAATATCTTCAATGGGATTGATAAGACACCACCGATTAATTCAATATAAGGTAATCTTTACGAGGTAAAAAAACAAAACAACAGCACTGGCATTCATTATTAGTGACAGCTTTTGTATATGTCAATTAAAGAATAGAATGGTTACAGGATTTCATCATGAGCTGACATCAATTAGAGAACCATTGGAAAACCAACACTGGAGTACTGGACAGCTGTTTCCCTTGTCCTAGTTTGGGACTCCTCATCAGTACGCACCCAACCCAGGACCTTCCGGTTACAAGGCGAGCTAGCCCATAGACCATTAAGCCACTGGGACACGGTGGGTGCGTACTGCTGAAGAGCCCCGAACTAGGACAACGGAAACAGCTGTCTAGTACTCCCAGCTTGTTTTCCAATGATTCTCTAACTGACAAAACCAAGTTTTTCCAGAAATCTCTTGCCAGTTCACTTGTTCTCGGAAGATTATTTCAGTGAGAATTTACTTCTAAATATCTTCCACGTAGAGTGGGGCAGGGAGGAGTAGATAAACTGACACAGTGTGTTTGACATGGAAAACTCATTCACAGTCGGAAATTTGCATTTCTGATCGTATATACGTGACCCCGTCTCACGGTGACCATGTATGGTCCTTACCACTTTGGAAGCAGTTTGCATGACCCTGGCTCGTAATCGCTGACGTTTTACCTCACACTATCATATACTGCCTTCGTCCGACCTCCCAGCAGCGTTCCAAGTAACAGCCTCATCACTGACAGATCTTGAACGCCACTCAACCGCGCAACAGCCTCGAAGTCCTGCTAGATGATCCATATGTCTCCTTCAAAAACTGCAAGGCAACGGCTTTCATTTGTCGGCAGGCAGCAACAACAAATGTAACTGCGATAGGCAAGACATGGAAGCCAAGGTATATTTTCAAATGACTAAACAGCTATTTATATAGATACAGTTTTATGTTTTCTAACCAATCACGGAGCGTGTGATTTTGGCCTACATTAAACGACATGAAATAGAATGTTCAAATAGATACATTGTAATGCAGTATTGAACTGTGGGAACAGTATTCTGTCTCTAACACCAAACAGAATGTTCAAATAGATATATCGTATTCTGTTGCTAATGCAGTATTGAACCATGGGAATATGTGAGAATAATATTCCGTTGGAACACACATTGTCTGTATCACACCACCACACTTGGACGATGCAAAAATAGTAAAATGCAAATGAAATTATAAAAAAATAGGAATATTCAGCAGAAGTTATTTTATTACCTGTTTTGAAATTTATCCACACACAGACTTATATGTCTAGGATAAATTGAACAGGTATACGGAACTTCATTGTTCAATGGTAGGAGGTCGACATCATGAAATATTGCACAGTGGAATGGTATCCAGTTCAGCGCTTCAACAAATCCAGCGTTCATTATAATGCCTTTGTTAAACGGTTGTTGATCAGCCTTCAGTGAAAGATTAATATAACCACAAACAACAACAAAAGATAAAATTAAATTAAAGAAGCATTTTTGTGTGTTTGTGTCTTAATAAACAATAATAAGGCCATAGAGTTATTGATCGAATTAGAAATCCGGTAGAAATATTATCTGACAAGGAAATGTGATCACACTGTCTAAAAAAATCTAATGCGGTGCAACGGTTACTTCATGGTGAAGTGAAAGACAATCCACTCTAATGGAGAATATTTTAACAGTGAATTATCTCGTTGACTGTGCATAATATTTTTTAGCGACTAGGGGTAAAATATTTTAAGGACAGGCGTATTTATTTCATGGGGTACACCCTGCTAAAGAGTTTACTGCAGAGGTTTAAAATTATAGAAGCCACCAGCAATAACCCCATCGAAGGACCTTCAAAATGAACCTGAAGCAATCAGTCACACTGAAACGGTAAAAGCCAAAGACTTAGTACAGGAATTATTTAAATAAATTTTAGATTTTCCCGTCGATTGATTGGACCGAAGTGCTCGGTCTCAGATTGACGTGTCGGCTTCCTGTGCAGATGCTTCGACGATGTCTGGGCATGTAATTAGAAGTTAATTGGTGGATGGTGACTAGCAGTGGAATCCAAGGATGCGCATTTCGTCCTATTTGGGACTCGTCAGCTGGATGTACCTGCATTCCGCAGTGAGTGATGACGTTCCCACCGAGGCTCGAACCCAGTGCCCATAGTTTCAAACTGCGGAATGCAGGCACTTACAGATGATGAGTCCCCAATGGGGCGAAATGCGCATCCTGGATTCCACTGCTAGTCACCATCCACCAATTAACTTCTTATTGGTAAAGGAATGTTTATTTGGGAATTGGTATCTCTGTATAGCCAAATTATGTATACCTTATCTTCAAAGCACCATTTACACAGATCTTCATGTTGTGGTACTTCTGGACTTCATGTTGTGTGTTCCTTTCACGTCTCCCATGTGCCTTTACAACGCTGTATCATTTGCCTTCTCTGAAATCAAATGTATCTCCCTTCTATTTGCTGTTTTTATGCCAACGAAAGTTTCATTATATACTACTGATAAATCTTTTCAGTAGCACTCGCCACATCACCATGATTGCTGTGCGTGTATTATGAGCATAGTTTGCTTTTCATCTGATTTCCTAGCTGTCTTCTAAATATTTGATTATGCATTATGGTTAATTAGGGATGTTTATTAGATTACTTAAGGGGGAACAAGAACGTCTTTATATGTGGGAATCCACTTAACTAACTAATTTACCAGCCTTAACGTCGGCTTTTACCCTGACTAATTGTTCGAGCTTATCTTGAAGGTACTCGGTAGTGGCTGTTATAGTTTAACTTAGATAATTTACTTTTAGATAAACAGATTCTGTTCATCTATTCAAGCGGAAAACCGATCAAATAATCAATAAAAAGGACCGATCGGAGCAGATAAGAAGTACAAAAACGGATAATATATATGTATATATCAGTCCTCAAAATACCCATTTCCTCTGTTATAATCTCCACCTAAGTCCTAGGAATTCGTCATTCAATGCTTTAGATTTCAATCTTAATAAAAAAATAAAAATTTAGTATTGTCAAAAACAAATCGCTCACCTGTTCAGCAACAACTATCAGGTAACAAATGTTCTGTTTTGTAAGCAGTTCACCTAAGCGTGGGATTAATTCCATTAAATGTTCCGAACGATTTCGATACGGTATAATGATCACATTTCGCCGGCTTTCTGGTTTATTTGGGGTTAAACAGCCTTTTCGACACGCTTCATTCTGGAACAGACGATGAGTGCCGTCAAAAACTAGTAGGCAATTGGAAGTTAGACGGAAAAAAGCGTGATATGGTAGACGTTCGAAGGTAATTATTATTCATTTTAATGGCAATACAGTACAATGAAAGCATAATTTTATAACAGTTAGTTGAAGCATAGTACTGCATAGTATCTCGTTAGTGTTAGTCTGTGGAATGAATGAATGTATGATTTTATATATTTAGATGAAACAGTTATTCACTCTTATAAATTTGGATAATGTTATAAGAACACAGACAGACAGTGGGAAACGAGAAGACAGGGATATCCTGGACCGACGTGAAGAACCTAGAAGACCTGGATTTCGCGGATGATTTATGTTTGATGTCACACAAAATCGAAGACTTACAAGCGAAAACCGACAAACTGGTGGAAGAAGCAGGCAGTGAAGACAGGACTCCAGGTGAACATAGACAAGACGGAGGTTATGAAAATAACCACCCAACAACAACAACAGCAGCAACATCCAGCGCCAATCACCATCAACAGGAGGGATTTGAAAGAGGTTACTTCATTCACTTATCTAGGGAGCATTGTCTCAACTACAGGAGGAACAGATGAGGAGGTCAAATCGAGAATCGGGAAGGCGACAAACACATTCATCAACCTGAAACCAATCTGGAAATATTCGTCACTCAGCCTGCATCAACAAAAAAATTCGGATTTTCAATACAAACGTCAAGTCAGTCAGTTCTTCTATACGGATCAGAAACTTGGCGGGTCATGGTGGCCACATTGCAAACATGATTGATAGAACTCAGTCTGCACCGAAGATAGGACTAGACACGTTACACTAGTTACTGACTAGTGTGCAATCAAAATATCACAAAGAATATTTCCAGCAGGTTGCAGACCTTTATCAACAACTGCCTTTGCTCTATACTGAAGATCAGATGGCCGGAAAGAACTAACAACAAGAAACTTTGGGAACAAACAAAACAAGAACCAATCGACCAACAAATATGCAGGAGAAAGTGGAGATGGATTGGACACTCGCTGAGGAGGCCACTGGGTGACATCGTGCGTCAGGCCCTCGAGTGGAACTCGAAAGGGAAGCGGCGAGTGGGACATCCAAGGGTGACATGAAGGAGATCATGTGAAGAAGAGTTGAAACAGTATGGACTAACATGGATGCAGGTGAAAAGTACAGCAGAAGACAGAAGCAAGTGGAGACGTGTAGTTGAAGCCCTATGTTCCACTAGGAACCCAAGGGAACAATAATAATAAGTATAAGAACACGGAGATTATCCGAAAAATGTGATGCGAAATACCTTTCGAACAATCTGTTCCCTCAAAAACATTGACTTGTCAGGTCAATTTATATGAAAAGATATTGAAGAGCAATTAAAGCACACAAAGTGACAAAAGGATTAAAGAATAATACGGAACAATTAAACTACCTTCAGCTATCCAATCAGATAAGGATTACCAAGGTATGTGGATTAAGAGTAATTGTAAATTTTCAAGTATTGGTTTGTGGGGCTTTGACTGATTGGTTGGAGGATTTCATCGTGAGCTGAAATCGGGTAGAGAAACACTGGAAAATAATGTGGGGGCTCTGGAAAGCTGTTTCCCTTGTCTTAGTTTGTGACTGACTCTTCAGCAGTGCGCACCCAACACAGGGGTTCGAACCAAGGACCTTCTGGTTACAAGGCGAGCTAACTCGTAGACCATTAAGTCACTGGGACCCTATCCAATGGCCAACGCATGAATTCCAACTTCTGCCAGCCAATTCACTACATAAGGCGACCGCTAGCCAATGTCATCAGTGGCGAGTATTTGTTCTCACACCCGACTTGCTGTACCCTACTGGGGACGACTTCCCACTAGAATTTCAGGTAACTACCTACCTGAATAGGGTCAGTCGCTAGTGAGCATCTGATTGATATTCAAATAGTGGTTTGTAGGGATTTGATTGATTGGTTGGAGGATTTCATCATGAGCTGACATCAGTTAGAGAACCATTGGAAAAACTTGAAGTGCTGGACAGCAGTACGCACTTTCAAACTGATCTAATTCTCACTAGGGACTGACCCTACTCAGGCACTGATCTGGAGTTCTAATGGGATGTCGTGACCAGTAGAGTACAGCAGGTTGAAGGGGAGACAATAACTCGTCGAAGAAGACATTGAGGAGTAGTCGCGCTAATTCGTGAATTGGCAGAAGCTGGAATTCACGGGCTGGCCATTGGATCGGGTCGGGTCCCAGTGGCTTAATGGTCTACGAGCTAGCTAGCCTTGCAACCGGAAGGTCGTGGGTTCGACCCCTGTGCTGGGTGCTTAGTGGTGAAGAGTGCCAAACTAGGACAACGGAAACAGCTGTCCAGTACTCCAGTGGTGGTTTTCCAATGGTTCTCTAACGGATGTCAGCTCATGATGAAATCCTCCAACCAACCAATCAAACAAAATCCCTACAGAAAAACAATACTTGAAAGCCATTAGTAGCATTAAACAGAGAAGCGCTAGTGAAAATATCAACATCGTTTTGTTTTTTCATTCATTCATTGGGAAATTAAAAAAACTTTTATCAGAATGAATATCATTTACCCAATGTCCAGATTTTTTCAAACTGTTAAAAGTGATTTGAAACAGTTAGTGCCTTTTATATATTTGGATAGTGTTATTAGACGTCGGAGATTATCTGAAAAACGTGATGCGATGTATTTGCGCAATGCATTTAGAACAATCTTATCCCTCACAAACTGACTTGTCAAGTCAATTTATATGAAAGGAAATAAAGGGCAATCGAAGTACGCAAGGTGACAAAAAGGATTTAAGAATAATACGAATAATAATTAACACTACGTTTGGTTATCCAATCAGATGAAGATTACCAAGTTAGGTTAAGAGTGATAATAGGTTGTTTTTGAACACACGGAGTGTGGGAGTGGGGTTGGCTTAAGTTTATGAATAGCTGTATCCTCAGCATATTTCAACAAGTGCTCTTGACCATTTTAACAGATGAATATAAAAGCCAAGTTGATATTAATCTTGTGATTCGCGTGGATTGGATGTTTGGCTATAGACGATGTTGGTAGTCTGCCTCCTGCGTCCAGCTTTCTGCCTTCTAATACCACTATATCCATATTTAGATAAACCTGTTGGTGCTCATACAGAAATGTTATATCTCCGCCATCGTGTTAGAAGTAGCCAGAGATTCACTTCTATATTGTAAAATGCGTACTGTATAAGAGATAGATGGAGAGAAACACCCGACTTAATGCTAAAAAGTGCAGATACAGAAATTTTGTTTTAACTTCATGCAGAAATTCAGTATGCGTGTAGTTTATTTAGCTCTTAGATGATTTTCACTGATAACACACCGTTGGAAATAAAAAAAATCCCCTGAAGGAGGCAAAATAATGCAGACAGTGGTTTTCATTGATTAGTCGCCAGTGTGTGATGCTTCTAGTTTTTCGCGTTGGCTCAGGCTGAATTCTGTCAGTAAAGTTTGCAGTGTGGTCGGTCATCAAGCTAGGTTACTCGCCATCGCGATGCCCTCTGAACTGATCTTGGAAGGGGGATTAGTTCCTTCAAATGTGCACATATGCCTTACAGAGGAGGGTGTCCAGGGATTTCTGACAATTATCTGCAACCATTTAACAAATATTCAATTGAATTTTAGATTTTCCCATCAAATAATTGGACCGAAGTGCTCGGTCTCAGGTTGACATGTCAGCTTCTTGTGCAGGTGCTTCAACGATGTCTGGGCATGTAATTAGAAGTTAATTGGTGGATGGTGACTAACAGTTTGAAACTATGGGCATTGGGTTGAAGCCTAGGTGGGAGCATCATCACTCACTGCAGAATTCAGTTACATCCACCCAACGAGTCCCAAATGGGGCGAAATGTGCATCCTGAATTCCACTGCTGGTCACCATTCACCAATTAACATTTAACAAACATTCAGGGTAATGGGATCACAGAGATCACTGACTGATTAGTTTTGTTAATAGTGTAACAATAGGCTCCTTTCATTTTGAGAGTTACTTTCAAAATTATCGCTGGATTTCACTCTAAATCGGGTGTCGTGGTGAGGCTCCCACAAGTCATAATTCATCATTCGGTCTTCCCTTTTGGAAACTTATTTTGGTTAGATCAGTGTTATTAACATATAAGTAACCAGTATAGAGTCTAGATTCCACGCAACTTTTATCATTTTTCAGCCAGGGAACTATTAAAAACTGAGGGTCCCTAGACGTGGTGGTGCCTATCCTCAACATTATGAAGGTCTGGCCCTCGGTCTTTCCATCTCTTATTATGTATATCGCCATTTAAGCCTTTGGCTAAAATCCATAGACCGAACTTCCCAATTTCTGCTTACATGTGATATAGCCTGATCAGTGCAAATTGTCACTGGTAGGCAACTCGACTTGGTACTTTTTTATTCCTTTACATTCCTAGTGCTGGAACATAGGCCTTCAAGCTGGAGATATGAAGTTCTGATAGCAGTGGTGTTTATTTTTACAGGGTGGGGTTGCTGGCCTCATGCCCAGCCTTCCCTCTTTACCGGTCATATTTTGGCTTAGGAAAGTAAAGGAGTGCGTCATTGGCCGGGGATTGAATCCCAGGTCGGCGAGCATTCTACCGCTGTGCCATCGACTTGGTCCTACCAGTCATGATTTCTTATCAGAACCTAGGGGCTCATACACCCCTAATGGTTTGACTAGTTCATCTTAGTACATCAACAATGTAACATAAAATACAAGTATGATCACATGTCATCATGGATACCAGGTACCTTCAAGACAGATGATGATTTGACGTCTAAGCAGAATGATGACGAAAATATTGATTGTTATTAACCAATTCGTTTTCCTCATAACAATTAGTTATCTATATAAGTATAAAACTTGGGCACTGTGGTAGAGTATAACTTGATATGATTATGAGCAATAGTTTATGCTCGAAACGTCATCAGTTAATACTACTGTACAACACTGTGTGATTTATCAAAATAAAATCTTATCCATAATGGAATTATTTATCTATAAAATACTTAATATTATGCATGCCCTTTCACCACATCATGAATCTACCTGTCCTGGATTAGGACCTTAGCAATCATTTCGGTTAATAATTCCTGGGAGCATGCATGTTTATTTATACAGCCTGGTGACATTTCCGAAATCCTCGACAACAGTTTAGTGCGCTGCCAGAAAACAGAAGAATACATGAGGTATGTATATATTTTTCTACTAGAGATATCTTAATAATGATTGATCAAAGTAATAATTAAAGCAACAATTTGTAAAAACAAAAATCCTTTCCAACAACCACCACCTACCTTTTCTACAGAATTCCTTTTCTTGCTTAAACCAAGTGTTCATTACCATCTCACCGACATCTTCAACAGCTGGTATATCTGGACTTAAAAGCCGAGATAATTCGTTAGTAATGAACCGGGCAAGTTTTAAATCAATTTCTGAAGGAGAACCCATGTTATTAAATGATTGCCAATGGTATAGTATAATAAGGCACGATAACAACATTAAAATCAAAGTTAGGCATACAACAGCTCGAAAACGCCGCATTTCTCCAGGGTGGGAGAAAGAGAGAGAGAGGTGAATTGACGCTTTTTAATTATGACTAATGCTGGCAAAATATACCTCGACAAAACTGTTTTTTGTACGATCGATACTTTTGGCTGCCTGTCAAATAGCATTACAGAAGCAAATAATAATCTGATTGGTGGAAATAAATGTGTATTGATTGATTGACTAATATTTGTCCAATCACAGCTGACATGGTAAAACTTGATATTATCTTAGGTATATTAATAAAAACAAACGATTTCTCCAAGGTTTTATAGGAAAATTCTGTATTTGACTTGAACTTTTCAGGGTTTCTTCGATTTATATTAAAATGTGAGTGTAACACTATGAAAAGCTTGAAAAATAGTGAGTAAAACGACTCATTAACGTCCTCTGACTTTATAGAACAGAAGTGTTATGTTTCTTTCTAACCAAAGTTTAGACAGGTCTTAAATACTCTCAGAAGCTTAAAAGGTTTCACAGTTTAAGAGAAAATATAAATAAGTGAATGGAATATTTTTTACTGCTATCATCATATATATTTTAGTTTCACAATCTTATTTGTCTCTTACTATTATTATTACTCTCCGGAGCTCCGAATGGAACATAAGGCTTCAACAACACATCTCCGCCCTGTTGTATTCTCTGCTGTGGCCTGCATTGCGCGCGATGTCATTTGACGGCCTCCTCAGTGTGCCTACGTATCTGTTAAGCAATGGGCTCTTGGTTGGTTGGTTTGTTACCAGCCAGCCAGCCAGCCAGTCAGAGTTTCTTCTTGCTAATTCTTTCTCACCAGCCAGCCGGCCGACTGGCTATTTGATCTTCAGTATGGAGCCAGCCAGTGAAGAGGAGGGGCAGCTGTTGATAAAAGTATGTAACTGGCTGTTGGAAATCCTCTTCGTGACACACCGAACAAGTTTCTGAAACATATAGAAGAACTTATTGACTGACTGACTGACTTCACTGATATTTGTGTTGAACACAATCCGAATCTCGTTCTTTGTGCTGAAGCTGAGGCGGAATGAGGAAGATTTCCCAACTGGTTTAGGGTTGATGAAGGCATGTGTGTCTCGCCTTTCCGAGACTGTCTGGCTTCGACATCTTCATCCGTCCCACTGGCTGTGATTGAAATCATGCTTTCAAGACGGATAAGTGAAGGAAGCAACCTCTTTCGAATCTCTCCCGTTGATAGTGATTGGTGCTGCTCGTTGTTGCTTTTGGTTAGTTGGCTGCCTTCATCACCTCCATCTTCTCTCTCTCTTCCTCAGACCTCCTCTCTTCTCTGCAAGCCAGCCTCCTCTGCAACCAGTTTGTTGCTTTTAGCCTGCAAGTCTCCGAGTTTATGTGGCATTAAACATAAATCATCCACATGAGAAATCCGGATCTTCTAGAGTCTTCTTATTGGTCAGTGCAGAGTATTCCTGTCTTCTTGCTGCCCACTCACAGTCTGACGCATAATCCAGTCCACCACAATTAAGAATATCACCGTTGGTGATAATAGGCAGATAGCCTTGTCTTACTCCTGTATTCACTACAAATGCTTCTCTGAGTTTTCCATTGTGGATCACTTGATATGTGCCACTGTTATATAGCTGTAGTTGAGTGAGTTTGATAAAGATTTGGGCACTGCACGCCTTTGTTTTGAAGTAATTTCCAAATGGTTTCGTGGTCAACACTGTCGAAGTCCTTTTTGAAGTCGATAAAGTTGAAATAGAGAGAGGTTTGGCTTCCTATATATGTGTTTTGTTCCATGAAGATGAGTAGAGATACAATTTGATCAGCATATGATTTGCCTTTCCTGGTTCCGGCTTTTCCCAGGTTGGCATAGTTCTGCATCCCGTGCATCTGTTATCCTCTCCAGGACGACGCCACTTAGTACTTCACTCAGTGTAGACAAGAGCATTATTGTACGCGTAATTCTTGCAGAATGAGGCGTAAGTTGCCCTTCTTTGGCAGCTTTACAAGGTCGCTAACCATTCTTCCAATTGGCAGGCACCTTTTCTTCTTTCCGTCTACACTATTCAGAAGGAATTTAAGAAGCACAGTCATAGTGTTAGGGGGAGTTTGGTTGACACTGAATAAAAAACACAGAGCGGTGTTCTGAATGCTTCTTCCATGACTTTAGTTTTCGAATGTAGTAACGAGTAAAAGTTCATGTGAAGTTCTGTGTAAAGCCCGAGTCCATGGTGTTCACGTATCAGTAAAATGTATAACGAGACATTCTCTTGAGTACGTGTCACTCTGTGGCTTCTTTCCTTCCTTAGGCTTCTCGACCTTGAAGTTTCTGGCTGTCAGTAACTCTACAATGATAGCATTTAATACAGTAGGTCAATCACAAGCCCAAATAGCTCATTAATAACATCTCTGACTGCTGGTAGCATTGGGTGACACTGGTTCGAATCTCAATACACCAGGATATGAGTTCCTTGAAGATTGTAGATACGCCTTGGTGGTGAGTGCCAAGAGGCATGCAACCTAGGTGAGACTGTGCTTCCTGTGACCGACTGCCCCCAACCATTTAGTAGCTACAATGATAGATCTAACTAATGGTGTTGTAGTTTATCGGCATTGTAGCTGTCCTAATAGGCCAATTTTAGGGATACATATTAAATTTAAGAAAAAATATTTAAGCTAAAAGAAAAAGTGTTTTCCAATTAGATCTCATCAGGCTTAAATCTAAAATATACATAACTTCACAAATAAACACTGAATATAAACCAGTTATAGTAATTTGTCTCTGGGTTGATAAGATTGTGCATATGCACGCTAATAATAATAGTTCTGTTTTTAACACAGATAAAAAAGTAAAGTGGTTTGAGATGACAAGGTTAACGAAAAGTGACCTGTGTAGATAAACAAATGTTCAGATAGACGTAGTAGTTAAAGTCTAAGAAAAACAAGCCGTTAGATTAATTAATACTGTGGTGAGTGTTACTCATAATCAGATATCAGTAGTATATCAGTGAAAACGAATTCAAAAAAGTAACAATATATTTCGGGGCATTGGGAAAAACAATCGAAAAAGAGAACGGTGAGAAGAATGTTACAGAATCCAACAAGCTATCGAATGTGGTGATATTCAACCGATTTTCTAAGTTATATGCAAATAAAGACTTAGAGATAAGGTATGCCAAATTTATGTACCTACAATGCCTTGGAGCCTCATCGGTCCATTCTTCTTTACAGTACGGTCTTGTAAGTGAAGTAAACAGACTAAGTTTTAAAGTGTTATAAGACTGAAAAATAGTTTCAAACAATTAGTTCCCTTTATGAATTTAGACAAAGCAATAAGAAGGTGTAATTTTGTAACAACAGAAGGCAAGACACGGAAGCCGAAGTATATTTTTTATTATTAATCAAACCTCTGTTTATATATCTACAGTTCATATTCGTTAACCAATTATTGTGAGCGTGTGATTTAAGTTTGCGTTAAACGACATGAAATAGAACGTTTAAATATATATAGAATTCTGTTGTTAATACCGAACTGAACTGTGGGAAATAATATTCCGTTGGCATATACGGTCTGTATCACACCACCACAATTTGTCTGAATCGTGTAATGTATTTGCACAACACATTTCGAACAATCTGATCACACACACGGACTTGTCATAGGAATGAATGTATATGAAATTAATAAAGAGCTAAGAGGCGAGAAAATAGACTTGGGTCAAAATAACAATGAAAATAACTAAACCAAATAACAGAAGGTAATACTACATCTACCCTGGCTGGTATCAAAACAAAGTTTACCAAGGAAGGTTTAGTGTGATGACAAATTGTTGCCTTGATCGCATAAAGGTGGTTAAAACTTTTTAATTGCCAGCTAGAGCTTCCACAATCTTTAGGATAAGCCATCCTCAAAACACGTTTTCTAGATAGGTTTAAAAGATGTGTTAACGTCAATTTTATGTCCTGTCTCCTCTGTAATATGTTTCGCAATAGAGGAGCTAGGTTATCGCTTGTTCTCACCGCTTATAGGTTCTGAAGATTCCATTTATTTCTGGAGCCATTTAGGAATATGCTCTGAAGCCCTTACTTGCAGAGATCGATGAGTCCTCCCTATGTATGTGTGTCCACACGTACATTCAAATAGGCAAATACAGTAGGATGTGACGTCATTTTTCGTATATTCTAAAGGCTTAGATGGATATATGGGCTTCCCATTCTCATGTATTATTCTGATCTTAGCTGGATAACAAGTCTTTTTAACCGCCCGCCGCGTTCAATCTTTGTCTAGTTGTCAAGCTGTTATGATCCACCATATAGGGTAGCTTGATGTACAGGTCTTTTTTAGGGGCAAGTTATAGAGTGGGTCTTGTTGTTCTGACTACTTTATATCTCCTGATGAACTTATCTGGATAATTTTTATCATCCAGAGTTTGTGCCAACTTTCTTTCTTCCCCATCGAGTGTCTTCTTATTACTTTGTCTAAAAATAGTTGTGAAGAAGGGCATTGAAAGTATGTAAAGGTGTATTACGTTGGTTAAATCTTAACTGGCCAAGGGAGGGATAAGGAATCATGCCAGCAATTTGCACATGAATTCATGAAATGCAATTTACACATTTCCAGGTTGTATTTCACCATATTATGCATTATGCGACATACTACTAATTAATTAATTTGAGTAGTTGAAAACTATTCGCATCAAATAGTAGGCTTCACCAGCCAAAGATAATGACTGTACCAGCTTCTCTCTGAATGCACACTTAAGGCCTAATAGTTGGAATACCAGTTGCCTCAGCTCTAGGCAGTGGACCAGTGCGAAGACTATTAAAAGGATACGATGGGATGCAATGAATCTCATTTTACTTTGTCTACTGAGTGGCTACGATCAACTAAGTGCAACAAAGAGAACTTCGGATGGTTTTTATCTTTCTTTTATCAGACGAGAGATGTTTAATGAGGCGTTGGACAGGCTGTCTAGTACAGATTAGTACAGAAATAGTACACAGACAGATCACATTTATTGTTAGAGAACAATCACAGGAAAATTAGAAACTCAAGTTTATAGAAAATCAGCTCACACGAACCAAA